TTTGGATGTTTTCTATTCATAGGCATAATAACGGTATGTTCATTCTTTATACATTTAAATAGATGTATATCTTTGGATTAACATTCTAAATTAAGCTAATTAGGGTTATTACATCTAGTGTATAAAACAATGTATCATCTCTGTTACATGGATTCCCACTTACAGCTAGACCTTCCCTAAGAAGTAGTTTAACGTTTTGCATAAAAGTAATAAACTATAAATAGTCATTATTACCAAAAACAAAAAATGAAATTTTGAATCACAAATTAATAACATTACAATGGGATATTGGTACAAAATACAAAAAAATAGTGGACTATTAAATAACTTATTAAAATCTGAAAAAAAATGTCGACTTTCTTCAGATTTAGATTTCCAAAATTATGTCCACAATCTAGAAATAGGTATAGGAAAACAAGCATAATATGTTGCATCGGCTTTTTGGTTAAGCCAGACAACTTATGGTAGTAATATATTATTTATATAATATACAGGGTTGGCCTCTCAAACGAGTCCATCCTGATATTTGGCAGCGTTTGATTTTTTAAAATGTTGAACCAGGTCGATTTTTATTCCATTTGTCAACCTCCTTCCTCCCTTCCAGTACCTTTTTCTTCTTATTGTACCGTCTATAACGAAGGTTGGCGATCAATTCTTTAAACTCTTCTCTATATTTTGCAATTTGAAATATATGTTCAACACTGGGGTTAATCCAATACCTCATATTTCTCAGCCAAGATTTCTCTTTTTTTCCCAATCCTTTTCCTTCCTATACTCTTCATTGTATGATGACGTGCAGAAGAGCTTATCGTTTCGAGGTATAGTGGTGTTAAAAAGTCCTGCATCACCTTACCAAATACATGAAAATAGAAGTTTAAGGCATTTACTTAAATATTGTTGAACCATTTACTATCTACATGAAACAAGCACTTAAACACAATAATATAAAATGGAAACTATTGAAATCAAGACGATATTGATATCAATATCACATTAAAGTAATAAACTAATTTTTATATTTAATTGGCCAGTCCTTGTTTTTAGTAACTAGTTGACATCTTTTGGGCATGGAATTTATTAATTTTTGCAGTTTCGGAAATACAGTGATGCCAAGCGTGGATTAGAGATTCGATTAATTTTGTTTTATTTGTAGGTTTGCTTTTGAAAATGATGTTTGATATTCTTTGCCACACAATTTTCGATGGGATTACTCTCCATCCAAGCTTTAACCAATTTTGCTCTATGGCAAGGAGCATTATCATCCTGAATAATAAATTTTTTCGCAAAACAGGTCTTTTCCACAAAGCACCATCTTATTCTGTAGTACCTCAATGTATTTGGTAGCAGAGCAGGTATGTTCATCATCTCAAAGATAACCTGTAGGCCACCAACTCATCGAGCGGACATATAACCCCATATCATAACGAAGATTGGATGTTTAATTGTGGAAAGAACACATTTTGGAGAAAATTCTCTACCAGGAAATCTTCTGACGTAGGCATTTCTATCATGATTATTAATATTGAAAGTGGATTCATCACTAAACAGTGTTTCTTGGCCCATTTCAAACTGTGCGATCTTTGCATTTCTGAAAGCAGTGGTTTCTTCCGTGCCTTACATCCTCTAAGTCCAAAACCAAGCAGTAATTTTCTCATAGTGAAAGTGCACACGCTTACACCGGTAGATTCAGACCACAGCTTCGTTAATTGGGTGGAATTAATCTGCCAGACTTGTTTTTCTTAACGCAGCGTCATCCCGAACAGAAGTTTGCTTTGGTCGGCCACTACGGGGTCTGTTGTAGATTTTTCCTTATTGAGCATATATCTTACTGACTTTAATTACTGTAGACTGATTACAGTTTACTGCTGATGCTATTTCGCGACTAGATTTGTCGTTTTTATGGTGAAAAATAATTTCAAAACGCTTTTTCGTGCGATAATATAGTTTGTTTGGTCTGGGATGTCATTTTGACCTTTTTATCAAAAATAAAATAGCGAATAAAATGTGTTAGGGTAACTACTGTGCTTATATAGTCAAAATATGTGGCAAATTTATCATTAAGATTCAATAGTACTTTAACGACTCAATCAACCACCAGTCACGTTTTAATTTTTTCGGATTATGGGAAACCCCTTCAATCGGATTATTTTAATCTTTTCTGTAAAATTTTAAGCTAGTAATTAAAAAACATTAGTAAGTATACCGATAATGCTAACTACAAGCACAAACTTAAAATTAATTAGCGAAAATATACAAAAAACTTGTGTTAAACCTCAAAAACTATAAGGCTCTTAGGTGATGCAGGACTTTTTAACACCACAATATGTGAACCAGATACGATGTTCTATCTTACTGTAATTGTGTTCATAAGCTTTCTGCCATATCCAGCTCGTCTTAATACTTTTTCGTTTAAGACTTTGTAGCCCAAGAAATTTTTCGAATACGCCTATCTTCTAATTTTTTTATGGATTGAGCTTTCAGAATCCAAGCTTCTACCTCGTATAGCAGGTAGTGAACATACATAACATTTGACGAACCTTAATCTGATAACCACACTCAATTTCTGGTTTGTAAACAATGAGTTGCATTTTGTAAATCCTTTTCGAGGTATTTTAATTGTGGTCTTTATCTCCAAATCCTGATTAACTCTGAGTTTATAATTGGTCCAAGGTAGTTGTACGCGTTGACCCTCTCTAACGGTTTACCCTCCAATGTCAGTTGTATGTTGTCAACAGGGCTGTTCGAGATCACCATGTATTGTTTCTATTCATTGTTAGTCCCATTTTTTTGCTTTCTCTCTTAATGATTTCTATAAGAATTTGTAAATCTTCTATATTTTCTGCCATGATTGCGGTATCGTCTGGAAATCTTATGCTATTAATGATGCTCCCTCCAATCTGGACACCTTTAGTTCTTTCCCGTAATGCCTCCTGAAATACTAGTTGGGAGTACGCATTAAATAATTGTGGCGACAGCACACATCCTTGTCTGGCTCCTCTTTGAATTTCTACTTAGTTTGTCTCACTTTATTTCACCCTTACGACCGCTGTTTGATTGTAGTATAGATTTTTGATTCAATTAATATACTTGGGATCTAGGTGTATGTCTTTCAATGCATGTATGAGTTTACCATGCTGAACTCTGTCAAACGCTTTTTAAAAATCTATATAACATATGAATACGTTTTTATTATATTCCCTACATTTTTGTAATAATGCCGTCATGTCTCTCTTGTTCCCATTCCACCTCTAAATGTAAACTGTGTGTTGTCTTATTGTTCTTCACATTTTTTATGTATGTGCTGTTGAATAACTTTGAGAAGTATTTTTAAAGTGTGGTTCATCATCGCAAGATTTTAAGATTATTTTTCTTTTCTGTTCCAGTAACATAAACCCTTAATTTTAAATAAGGAATAGACCATGTGTATATCATTAGACAGTTATTTCGCTGCCTTCGAAACTAGTAAAACGATTATTGGGTTTTTCAGCCTTAGTCCGATTCGAAGTCCAAAAACTTTCTTTACTTTGTAGCGTCGATGTGTAATAAACATCCCGCACACACATTAAGTTCAAGGCCAGAACAGCTCAATTCGGAGAGGAATGGCGGGGCAAGGTCAAGTGTATAGAAATTACATAATATCTCAAAAATCCAAACACAATCAGACAATCCGAAATTATAATTTATTATTGGACGCCACCCCTTGTTTATCCTCGTAGGGGACGACAGAGAGAATAAAAGAATAAGATATATAGAAAATTTACAGCGAAATTACACTTTATTATTTCTCAGTAATAAAAAGAAACATTAAAAGGTATGTTATTTCCAAAGGACACTAAAATACCATTTCATAATTACATTACTATAAACAAAACAACTTTATATTTTTTTAAATCAAGAATTGGTTGATAAAAACAAATAAATTTATATATTATTTCCAAATTTCGAAATTCGTTTACATTTAAAATATTATAGTAGTTATTTATTAACAAGGCATAATAGAAAAGTTAAATCTTTAAACAAAATTTAAAACACTGCTATATTTTCTTTCTCTGAGTCCATAATTACTCTCGCTTTCTCGATAGGGTATAATAAAAAAAGAAAAGGTACAACCTTAATCGTCCATTAGCTGGCAACCATACACAAAGGATATGTTCTACTTCCTCTCAACCTCCAAGCATTTCGTTACATTAGTTATTAGGGGTCCATGTTTTAGATCATAAGGGATTATTGGGCTGCGTTTACGACAGCATAAGACTTCTCAGTTAACTTCGAGTCAAATAAACATAATTAATAATCTTTTATTGTCCCCGGTAAAAAAGGTCTAAAAATAATTATTTATCTGAAAATATAGACAAAAAAGGCCTTTTTTCTTTGAATTACCTTTATATAGAGACCACTTCACAAAAACACGTCCCAATGTTGTAAGAGAAAAGAGACAGACGCTATCATTTCCCGGTTGGATTTGGGGCGTGATTGACAAGTTAATAATCGTTCTCATCTATCGGATAGGTTTAGAATTACAGTAGAAACCTTTAGTCGGCTACAAGTACCCGGCAGATAGATGGGGTTAGCAGTTTTATTAAAAAAAATAATAATCGAATTTAAAATAAATTTCCTAAAACTTTTGAAACGGTTACAACTTTTATGTCGAATCGCCGAATCGACAAAATTTATTTTAAAATTTGTATCCAACATTCAACATCGCCACTCACTTCAAGAGTTTTTTTTTTTTTGAGAGAACGGTTCATTCTACACAAAGAGTGCTAATAAATATTACTGTTCCAAATTATCAGCTACATTGTTCATTTGAAACTTTTTTTCTACTGCAGACAGATTCTTATTAATTAAATTTTTTTCATTTTACCCCTTCTATTGGGGCGGTTTAAGGTTGTTCTAAAATTGACATTCTATGCAAACTTGAGCTTGTTCGTTTCGTTTTTAGGAATCAAATATCTGACTAAAATAATAATTTTGTGTGTATTTGTAGTTTTTATTTTTAGAATAAGAAAACTACCCCTTATAAGTGTTAGCTTACTTCATGGAGCAACTTTAGGAGGTGGAGCTGAAATTAGTACATTTTGTGATTATATTTTAGTTTCTGATAATACCAAACTTGGATTTGTCCAGGGACGTATGGGTATTACGACTGCATGGGGCGGTGGAACAAGGTAAGTGATGTTATTATATAGTTTAGTTTACTTAGTTTTATTACAAAAACTAACACTACTATTACCTGCTAACTAACTATTTGGTACTTACAAAAATTGGATATAACAGGTAGCTCCATCTTTTAAAAATAGTTTAAAGTTAAGGATGCGAAGCATTCGTTAATTTGACTACCTTCCGCATTTGTTTTCATAGTTCGTTATATATGTCAGAGTGACGACGTTGGTGCGTTCCACAGATTTCTGATATTTATTTACGGTAAGTTGTAATTATCAAATTTGTATCGAATTTGTTGTGTTTGTAATGTTTGCTCAAATGTGATGTCTTAAATTTGTATTTTAACATACTATATAAATTTCGATTCATTGCTAAACTATAAAAAATGTTGAAATGTTATATGGTATGGTATGGTATGTGTAAATATGGGCCATATCTGGACCAGAGGTCTACATTTCGGTCAATCACCAGTTGCGTCTTTTTTTTTTTCAAATCAGCAATGCTCTGAAACAAGCCCAAATATCAGAGAAAAAACATAAAAAATGGAAGGCTGAAGACATGCAAAAAGCCATGGAGATTGTTAGCAGTAAAGTATTGGGTTTGAAAAATACTAGTATAGGTTTTAACTTTCCAAGATCATCTTAAAACGATTCTCGTCTATAAAGATTCTTAAAAATTCAGAAGACTAGAGGTTTACATGTAAAGAAAATAATTTAAACTCCACTTGGAAGTAAAAAAGTATTACGTTAGTAAACGAAATCGTACAGTGTTGGTTCAGTAACTTTTAGTAATGAAAGCTGCCTGTTATGGTCTAACACTAAAAGACATTTGCAAAATAGTAGATATATTAGCTACGAAAACTGAATTAACTTATCGATTTAAAAATAACATTGCAGGAAGAAGCGAGCTGGGCGCTTTCTTAAGACGGAATAATACTTTTCTACTAATTACTTCGAAGACCCACTGGAACTTTCTTTTCTAGAGCTCTAGGTTTTGACAAAAAAAACACGCAGGATATTTTGATAATTTGAAAGCCGAATACAAGAAACATAGTTTTTCTCCGAAATAGAGTTTCCAATGTGGAGGAAACTGGATTCTCAGTTCTACATTGTCATAGTTGCACAAGTTGTAGGAAGAAAGGAAATAATAAATAAGAAATAATTTCCTTGTCACCTTGTCACCTTAGTTGTAGCAATGAGTACTGCTGATGAATTATTTATTCCCCTATGTTGATTTTTCCCCGAAAAATTCGAAAGGATCATTTACTGTATAATGCCCTACCTGCGTTAATATATGCAGTTCACCTAAGTCATTTAGATACAACAGAATTTGCTTAAAGAAAGGGAGGATATAACAAATTAGTTAGTATCGTAAACGAATTTATGGTAACGGAAATCTATTTCTTTAAGCGTAACTTTTTTTGAAGGTAGCAAAAAAGCGCCAAGCCGAAAAATATGTTTTTTTGAAGTATAGACAGAAAACATGAAGTCAAAAAAACGTATAACATGACATCGCTAAAATTCGTTGTAACCAAAATTGAAGCGGACCTAGAGAATCTTGGTTCTCTACAAGAGAAGTTGATGAGCCCAAAATCTACCTGCTCCAAAATCATCAGCAAAGAGTCTACAGAACCATCGACGTGGTGGAGGAAGCCTTCTCCAAGGTGTGTGTCACCTTTTGCAATATCACCTATGCTAATCTTAAAAAAAACTTCCTCTCGTGGACTAAAAGATTCAAAATCACAAATAATTACCTCCTTTTCCCACAAAACTGACTTACAGGATGCTCTCGATAAAATACCAAACAAAACACTTGATAGCGTAAAGAATGGCATTTAAAAATTCAGGAAATGAGACTTTAACATTTACGAAAAAAAGAAAAATCTAGAAGAAATCAAATACATCTGAAACCAGCAGTAAAGGTAGTTTCTTACCATCTGAAAAATTTTTCTTAGCTAACGATGATGTTGAACTTAATAAAGTAGGACATTTTGTGAGGGTCAGTTTCAGGCAGACAGAAAAGGAGAGCTTGGGATTCAGTTATTATGTGTAAGTTATGGGTACATGAACTATATTCGGAAGCTGAGAAGCATACGTTTGCGATTTTTGCAAATAATTTTATTTTTGTTTGTTTTCCTAACTAAATTATCAAACTATGTTTTTCTTTTGAAACATTTTTCTTAGACGCACATTTTCCATCCAGCAAGAGTTTGGCAGTGGTTTTCTACTCAGTAAAAAATTGGCAAAGAGCAAATTTTTCAGCCGGCTATATGATGATAACATTTTGAGATTAATAATCTTTGGAATCATCAAAAACATGATTATGGTAGGAAAAAAATTTCCCATAAAATTAAACACAAAGAAATATGAAAATCCCGTGAAAACGAGACCGTGATACCATTTTACGAGTTCAACAAAGTTATCAAAGCTTTCTAGGCTTCGCTTATTTTGACTACTGGCATTGATTAGAAACCACATACCATAGTAGTGGTTTATAATCAATCATAAGCGCCAAGTGTCCTTTTCTACCAATTCTGGGTTTTAAATTAGTACAGGTGATTCGAAGTCTGCTATTGACTCAGTAGTATAATAAATAAGTCCATAGGAGACCCCTCAATGGAGAAGGCTATTTTCGCAAAGAATCCAGGTGACTTAAACTTTTCATATGTTCGTGATTGGTAATAGTGAAACGAATATTAATGAATCCAATTTATTCGAAAAATCGAAAACAAGAAGTAGGTGCTCCATTAGCTCAAAGAGCAGCAGCTCTAAATTTTTTCAACGTCAAATCAGATAAGTATAATTTTACTAATATTTATTACACATCAAAGAAACAAACAATGAAAATATAGTTCGTTTAAACACACTTATGGTCGGACAAATTTTGTATAAAAAGTTGAACATTCCTAATATTACTGAAATTAAAGGCATTGGAAAAAATATAATTAAAGTTTTGATGTTGATACCCAATACGATGAAAATTATTTATTAGATAATATTGAATCTCCCTCGCACATTGTAGGTTTTAAACGAACTTTCAGAAAGTTTGACACAAAAGGAAAAAATAAATATGTATCCAAAAGGACTGTAATAGCCGCCTTTGAAAGAAAAATTTTACCTAGCTACATTGCAATAAATAGTGTTTTCCTGTTGAAACTTTTATTGTCAAAGTCACGCAGTGTTCTAGTAATTGTTTAAGATTTGGACATCATATTTCCGAACAGGGTCGCAGTTTACAAGCACATTACGCAAAAAGTGGTAAAATCAAAAATGAAGATTATGTGTATCAAGATTATGATATTCAATTCATCTCTTGCAATATGAAGGATCATGTATCCATTTCAAAAAAATGTCCTAAATATGAACTGCATAAGAAAATAAAAACGTTTTTAAAATGAAGCAGGAAAAAAACTTTGAGCTTGAGCAAAACCAAAAAAATTGAACAAAAAACTTTATCGAGACAAAAACTTCATGAACTTCGTGAATCATCCTTCTCCAAATTATTCACTTAGAATAGATATTTCATACTAGCAAATATTCGGAAGCAGTTTTCCTCCTTTTCAAATATTCGCAAAAAAATCAAACCCTTCTACCATACAAAAACAATAACGCATAAAAAAGAAGGTTAATCACTCCTACCCCACAATACTTAAAAAATGCGCTCATGTTTCCTTTATATTTTGAGCACTCCAAACTCGTTCCCGCTAATATAAATTTGCCAAATTGTCAAAACAAACCAGCTCAGAAGATTCTGAAAACACTCATTTCCAATTATATTTTTAATTTAATAACAGATTCAAGATTTTAATCACAGATATTTAAACTGAAGATGATATAAAAACACACAAGTCAAGATAGTATCTACCATAGTACAAAAACGATTTTGGAGGATATCATTAATGAATAACATCTTTACAACATTTAAATTATTAAAAATTTTGCAATGGAATGGTCGGTCTGTTGTTTCGAATAAAAACAGATTTATTTTTAAAGACTGAAAATATTGATAATGCCTTATTAAATGAAACTTGGATCATGGTTCAAAGCAAAAAAAAATTGTATATTTAAAGGTTATACGAGTTATGTAATTCGTCAACATAGCTATGACGGCTACGCAGGTGTTGCAATTTAAATACCAATTGCAAAAAAAAAACAACTGTTCGAGGATAGATTGATATTAAACCAGCCTTTGATAGATGGCGCTACTTGATACCGAATTGGTTTCGGTATTGACATTTGCCATTCATGATATGACGTCTGTCAAAATTATAAGTTTTAAAAACAATTAGTTTGGTTTTTGACAGCCGTCAAAAGCAAGCAAATATTGTGTTTTTGCAGAAATGGAAAAAGTCGAGTATCGTTCAGTGATTAAGTTCCTCCAGAAAAAGGGTAAAACGAATGTGAAAATCAAAGCCGACCTAGACGAAGTTTAGGGTAGGTTGCACCTTCGTTAGCAGCAGTAAAATTTTGGAAAGCTGAATTTGTTCGTGGTCGTACGAGTGTTTTTGATGATGATAATAGAGGTCCTAAACATTTCCTACGAACGCCTACACAACATCATTCACCATCATTTGGACATGAAAAAGCTATCCGCGCGATGGGTGCCGCTTTGCTAAGAATCGATCAAATGCAAGAACTTGTGACCACTTCGGAGACGCTTTTGGCCTGATACGGCGCGATCCGAAGTATTGTTTTCGCCGATTTATCACCGTTGATGAAACCTGGGTGCATTATTACACACCGGAAACCAAAGAACAGTCGAAACTGTGGCGCAAACGCGGCGAAGAGCCGCCGAAGGAGGCAAAGAGTGCAAATTCGGCCGGCAAAGTGATGGCGATTGTTTTCTGGGATGCGAAGGGCATCATCCACATCGACTACTTGAAAAAAGAAAGAACAATCAATGTTGAGTACTACGCAGCATTATTGGATCGATTCGATGCCGAATTGCGTCGAAAACGCCCCGGTTTGGAACGCAAAACAGTGTTCTTTCACCAAGACAATGCACC